CCCCCCGTCCCGGCCTCCATCCGGCTTGGGCCTACCTCCCTGGGACCGCCGCCTATCCGGCCCCGTGAGGCCCCCTCCCAGAGCTAGTTAAGGCGCAAACAACCCGGGATGGGCAATGCTTAACTCCGAGTGGTGTCAAATGGACGCAGTTCCTTCCTGGCGACTATGGGGAGCTTTTTCCAGATGCCTCCCATCGGGTCAGAGGGACCGATCTAGGGGGCCCAAAGTCCGACGCCCCCGGGGGTGTCGCCGTGGGTGAGCCTCCCCTTCCGGAATGGAGGGTCCGGAGCTTCTGCGGAGGTCGGGAGGCGAAAAACAGTTTGTGATTCCGGTGATGAGGCCCACACTCCCCTGGCCCGGGAAGAAAATTGGGGCTTGAGGGGGCAAGCAGGGGTCTTTCCAGGCGCTTGAAGTGAAGTCTGCTCGCCCCCTCCGCTCAACCCAGGCTGAAGATGCCCCCCACCCCCATCCAGGTGCAAGTTCTTCAGCCTGACGGAGACCCCCGAGGATTACACGCTCATGGTGGACGAGGAGGGCTTCAAAGGTGGGGGCTGGGGAAGGATGTTGTGCTCCCCTCTTTGTGGGATTCTCACTAGATGCCGGAATCCAGAGTCCCAAGATCTGGATGCGAATTTGACTCCACCACTCACTGGCTGTGTGCCCTTGAGCAAGTCACTTCCTCTCTCTGAGCTGTTTGTTTCCTCTTATGTAAAATGGGTATAGTTATGGTTCTTGCCTAATAGAATCCCATGAGAACTTTATAGACAGGGGTTTGAAAGGCACTTGGCAGCCTCAGGCCAGTAGCAGGGCTTCAGTTACAGTTCAGAGCAAGAATGGGGGTGTTCCTGAGGCATTTATATCCCCCTGGCCATTATTTCACGCTAGACTTATCTCCCTGGTGCGGATCATCCCCTCCCTGACTGGTCTGGGAACTCCAGGAGTCTGAGGGCTGGGAAAGGAATGCAGGAGCAGGCAGCCAGTCCAGGGCAGGGTCCTGGGGGCCTCCTGGCTGCGGTTGGGAGATTAGCAGACACCTTGGCCCCAGCTTCTACTCCGGACTGGACGCCAGCCTGGTTCCTCCCTCCCTGGTCTCTGGAGCTGATATCTGGCTCCTACTCCTGCCAGCCTGACCCGTCCTCACAGGTCTGGAGTCTCAGGCCATGAAACTGTGGCTTGGCCCATCCGCTGGACCCTTCCAGGCCTTAGTTTCCCTGTTTGTAATGCGGGAAAGTCTGGGTCTGCTAAGGGAGAAGCGCATCTCTCTGCCAACCTGATCTGCTGGCGCCCCCTGGTGGTGCCAGGTGGTATAAAACCTCTGTTCACCCAAAGAATGCCATCATGATATATAATGCTGTCATCCCATTTTACAGATGAGGAAACTGAGATTCAGAGAAGTTAAATCATTTGCCCCAGGTCAACAGCAAGTAAATGGTGAAGCTGGTGTTTAAACCCAGGTCTGTCTAAATCTGGAGTTCCAGTCTTAACTGGAAAGTTTGCATCCCTGGCAGGCCAGCACCTGAAGAACTTCTCAGTCCTTACATACATACAATTCTCAGGAGCAGAACTTAGGAGAGGGAGACAGCCCCAGTCTCCAGACCTGCTCCTACCTTGGTAGAGCACGCCCCACCTCCCCCCTCTCCACCCCTGCCAAGGCATAGACAGGGAAACTGAGCGGCAGGGGACAGCCCAGTAGGTCCTGACATGGTGTATACTTCCTGCTCACAGAACTACCCCCATCTGAGTTCCTTCAAGTGGCTGAGGCCACATGGCTGGTGCTGAACGTGTCATCCCACAGTGGTGCAGCAGTGCAGGCTGCTGGGGTCACCAAAATCGCGCGCTCAGTCATTGCACCACTGGCCGAGCACCATGTGTCTGTGCTGATGCTGTCTACTTACCAGACGGACTTCATCCTGGTGAGTTTTCTGCAAGCTCCAGTGCAGGGCAGGGTGGGTTTGGGTGCCTGGGGGCTCATGTGATATATCATCTCCCTGTGGTCCAGGTGCGGGAACAGGACCTGTCTGTGGTGATCCACACACTATCCCAGGAGTTCAACATTTACCGAGAAGTGGGCGGGGAGCCTGTGCCTGTTGCCAGGGATGATTCCAGCAATGGCTTTCCCCGTTCTCAGCATGGTGAGGTTACCCTCTGACACCCAGACCTAGGCAGGGCCTCCTTTTCCCACTGGGACCCTTCCCTTGTGAGGATTGGTCTGCGGGCATGGGGATACCAGCTGATACTGACTGCCTCACAAGACAGGGAAATGTGGAGGAAAGAGGTGGGTTCCTGTAGAGCATGACCCTACACCCCACCCAGATGGCCCTATCTGGCCACCAGGGGGCACCCCAACCCACAGTCTCCTTAACACCGGCTGCTGCCTGGTCCCTCCTAGCAGGACCCAGCCCCACTGTGCATCCCATCCAGAGCCCACAGAACCGCTTCTGTGTCCTTACGCTGGACCCTGAGACACTGCCAGCCATTGCTACCACCCTCATCGATGTTCTCTTCTACTCATACAGGTGGGCCTTGTTTGCACTTTGTTTCTCTTTTCACACCATTGTTCCCTATCCTGTGTTCCACTACCTTCCGCTTGTCCCTCAGTTCTGCAGCTCTGTGCCCTGTTCTATGTCTTGGGTTCCTGGCAGCCTGTGATACCCGTGTGCCCCTCACTGATGTTCAGGGAAGATCTCGATGCCACAGCTGCAACCCTTTCCTGTATTGTGAACAGACAACCCCGAGCCATGCCTTGGTCTGGTCCTCTGCCAGCCCTGGGGTCCAGTGTCTTTGGAACAGGCGAGATTTATTGTCCTCCCCCACCTCCACCTGACACCATCAGGAGATCAGGGCCCTTGGACAGAGGAGGAGAGTGGCCCAGAGATAGGAGGAGATGCAGTGGGCCGGGTGCCCTGAAGAGCACTTGAGCCTTCTGTCCCTTCCCAGTGCCCCCAAGGAGGCAGCCTCTGGTGGTCCTGGACCCAGCTCTATTACATTCTTTGCCTTCTCCCTCATCGAGGGCTACATCTCCATCGTCATGGATGCTGAGACGCAGAAAAAGTATGTGACTCCTGACCCCTAGTGGACCATAGATCCTAAGCCAGTCCTAGGGAGGGAGGAGGAGGTGGAGCATCAGACTCTGAGGTCACCAGGTCAACCTGCTCCCAGGGGCTCACATTGGGGCAGGGAGGGGACAGGTGGGTGCCCTGCCCACTGCCTGCCTGCCTCTCCAGGTTCCCCAGTGACCTCCTGCTGACCAGCTCCTCGGGGGAGCTGTGGAGGATGGTGCGCATCGGTGGACAGCCCCTGGGCTTTGGTAAAGGCTGCTCCTGGTGGGCTGGGGACTTGGGGGGAATCTGGGGGGGGGAAACCAGGATGAT